AATTGATTATATTCATAGTTATAAATAGTTATTATAGTCTCAATTCCTATACTTATAAACTGTTTACTTTTTTCGATTTTCACTTGTGGTTTAGTTTACTTTTTGTTGGTACTTCACTTTGCTGTACACTTTATCTTATTTACAATTTTGTCTTATCAATGGCTCGAAGAATATAAGTTATATCAAATCTACGCCCCTTACGATAATAAGACATCCGATACATATTTCATTATTCATAGTAGTTGAAGAAAACTCAATTATTCAAAAAGTTAAAGTTTTTTTATAGTGCTGGATTTATAAATAAACTTATTTCTATATTTACATACAAATTTCCCGAACACGAAAATATAGTACATAACAAGAAGAAAAATTTTTGTCTATAACATAAGTATTTATGTTACTTATCATATATAATTTTATTCAAATATTTTTATTTGTAAACATGTGAAATATAACTCTTAAAAACGTATGATCGAATTCTATCTATAGACTAGGTTTTCTTTTGTCTTTTGTAAAATTATTCAACTGCAAAAAAGAGTATTTATATCTTGATTTTGTTTTAAATTAAAACATGAAGATCAATCCTTTGAACATAGTCAATTTATTATTTGTATATTTTCAAAGTTTACAAATACCAGATAGCGAGATTAATTTCAAATAAATTAAATTATCAGAAAAGTTGAAAGAAATATTAATAGATGCCGTGTATGAGTTTAATGATATTGATATGATTGTTGAAGAGACGTTAGATTTTCATGAAGATTATAAAGATACTGATGCTAAAATAATCGAAGATGAAGTTCAACATCACTTTCCTGATCCTGATTTTGCACCAACAAATCAGTGCACAAATGATGATGAAGAAATTACATTTGATTATAAACAAAGAGTCGTAGAATTTTGGAGGAGCGGAAAAAACAAAAACTTAAAACTAGATACTGTACAACATAGATTCAAAAAAGTTACATCTATAAGTCAACTTAAACGTTGGGCGAAAACAATTAATAAAAATGGAACTTACCGAGAAAAAATTGCGCAGATTTGTCAATACACGTTTGATAATTTAAAAGCCGCTATTGTTGGCCATGAAGATATAAGATTTAAGGATTCTCAAAATTAGTTACTAAAATTTAAAAAAGCTCATAGAATAGTATCTAGAAAAATAAATAAATTTATCACCAAAAAACATTAGAAAGTAAAGAAGAACTACAAACTAATACTGATGCTTTTGTAGCTGATGTTAAATCATGTATACCAGAAATCGGCATTGCAAACTTTTATAATTCAGATCAGAGTGGTTTCAAATTAGAAATGCACTCGGGAAGAACATTAGCAGTTGAAGGAGAAAAGCAGGTGCTATGTCTGGTACAGTCGGTTTTATCGACAACGCACAGTTATACAATTCAGCCAACTATATCAGCAACCGGGAAACTTTTATCACCACTTTTTATAGTATTAAAAGAAAAAAGTGGTCAATTCGGTCCCATAGTGGAATCTTCGTTATTTAGACCAAAAAATGTGCATGTGGAAGCATCTAAATCTGGAAAATTAACGACAAATTAGTATATTTTTGTTTATTATAATGCAATGACATAAAAAAATGTCAACATTTTTTTATTTTAGATCATTTTAAAATTTGGTTGAAAGAACTTTTTTATCCAAATGTTGGATCTCAATCTGTACTTTTACTCGACTCTTGGAGTGGACATTGAGATAAAGCTGTAAGGGAAACGATGCCGACAAACAAAATTGTGAATATAAAAAAAATTCCCACAGGAACGACAGGGAACATCCAACCACTCGATGTTTATGGATTTCGTATCTAGAAAAATTTCGTTCGACGTTTATCAGATCAAGTAATTTTGGTGGACTATAAAATGAATCTACATTTAAATAATAAAATCATAAAAATAACATCATAAAAATGCAGTCTCTTGTCCATAACCAGCTTTCTTCACCAAGATATACAAATATTTTTAAATACGCTTGGTATAAAAGCGGCTATATTGCTGAAAAACCAGCTAAAACAGATAACCCTGTTGATTTTAGTTTTGGAGATTCTTGCAATATACATTGCGAAGTAGAAGCATGTAAAAATGTTGCTATAATACGGTGAGGTTCGTATAAAAGATCATTATGTTTCAAACACTTTTTCGATGATTATCATTTCTGTAAGGAATTCGTTGAATGATATATTTTAATTTACCAATAAATAAAAAAAAGTAAAAGATGAAAATTATTATGAAAAATCAAAATATATGTAGTATCGCGTACGATGGCTCTTACGTAAATATATTTATGTATCTACATACGAATATAAATATATACTTGTATGTACGAGGTGTGCTCAAAAAGTAAGGTGACTTTGTATTTTTAAGAAAAAATATTTATTTATTTATCAATATTTATATTGTCCCCTTCAAAGTAATCCCCCTCAGATACAATACACTTATGCCAACGGTTTTTCCAATCCTCAAAGCACTTCTCATAAGCACTTTTCGGTATAGTCTTGAGCTCTTCCAGCGATGCAGTCTTTATCTCTTCAATCGTTGCAAATCTCCGTCCTTTCATAGGTCTCTTTAGTTTTGGGAATAAGAAACAGTCACATGGGGCCAAATCCGGTGAATATGGTGGTTGAGGCATGATGGTGATGTTGTTTTTGGCCAAAAAATCTCTCACAAGCAAAGATGAGTGAGCAGGGGCATTATCGTGATGCAAAAGCCATGAATTGTTTTTCCACAATTCTGGGCGTTTTCTTCGTATTGCTTCTCGCAAACGGCGCATAACTTCAAGATAATACTGTTTATTGACCGTACGTCTATATGGTAAGAACTCCTGATGTACCACGCCATGGTAATCGAAGAAAACAGTGAGCAAAACTTTGACATTTGATCGAACTTGGCGTGCTTTTTTCGGTCTTGGCTCTACTGGGCTCTTCCATAGGGACGATTGGACTTTGGTTTCGATATCATAACCATATACCCATGATTCGTCTCCAGTTATCACCTTTTTTAGTAAATCTGGGTCGTCGTTGACGTCATTCAACACTTCTTGAGCGATGCTTATACGACGGTTCTTTTGGTCAAAATTTAGCAATTTCGGAACAAACTTCGCTGACACACGTCTCATGCCCAAAACGTTAGAAAAAATTTCATGGCACGAGCCAAGCGATATACCAACATCCTCAGCAAGTTCTCTGATAGTGATTCGACGATTTTCCAGCACAATTTTCTTCACTGCTTGAACGTTTTCATCAGTTGTTGACGTGCTTGGGCGTCCAGAGCGAGGCTCGTCATTGGCATCTTCCCGGCCATCTTGGAAGAGTTTGTACCACTTGTAAACATTTTTTTTACTCAGAACAGTTTCACCGTATGCCACCGTCAACATTTCAAGTGTTTCGGAGCACTTTATTTTATTTTTTACACAAAATTTGATGCAAATCCTTTGATCCATATTTTTCGATAGCAAGAAATGCAAAACACTTATAATCTTTACGCCTCTCACAACCAAACAAAAAATGCTATACACTTGAAACTTGGTACAGATGTTTGGGAAGAATGTACCAACATAACAAAAAAAAAAAATCGATAATCGAAAGTACGTTGCCCGTGAAATTTGAAAAGTCACCTTACTTTTTGAACACACCTCGTATAGATCTATAAATGATAATTACCTCGTGTTATTCTCGTGTTTATTTTTAAGAGATATTTCTCGTCATTTTAGTACTATTAAAATAGAATGTATTAAATATATTGTTATTTGTCATAAATTATGTTTGAGCTACAGATATAATTTATCAAAAAAAATGGGATATCTCACGTACGGTGTGGAAATCAATTATTTTAAGAAAAAGCAACTGATAAACTCAATTCTCCCAAAGTTAGGTCTATTAGCCTACATTTGGTTGGGTAAGGGTGGTTTATGTAGGTTTGGCGGGTTATAGGCAGGTTGGTTAGTTGAGGTAACTCGCTCAGGTGTAGGATTAAATTATTTCAGGCAATAACAAACGACTTAACTCGTGTTTCTCAGGGTTAGGAGGTTTAGCCTGCTTGTGTTTCAGTAAGGGTGGTTTATAAGGGTGGGGGTTAGATAGGTTAGGGGTAGGTGGATAAGAGGTATGTTATACAGCTGGGATAACTCGCTTATGGTGTAAAATTCAATTATTTCAAGAAATAACAAACGACTAAACTTGTTTATCCCAGGGTTAGGTGGATTAACCTGCTGATAGTTTGACGGGAGTGGTTTCTAGGGGGTGAAACACCCCTTAAACATATTTTTTTTTAAATGCGGAAACACGTCAATTTAATTTTGGTATTTTCTCATTATCAGTGTGATTTTTAAATCACTCGAGCTGATTTATTATATTCCATGTCGTAAAACAGTACAAAAAATAGTGTATTTACCCCTATTAAAAAGGGGGTTGCAACCCTTCGGTATAAATGTTATGTCCTTAAAAGCGCCTTTTTATAAGAAATTTTTTAACGTTTAGTTTACTGAAAAATATTCATTTGATGTTGAGAAATATTAAAAAAATTGATTTTAGGGGTTGATTTTCAGGGTGGATTTCACCCCTTAAAAGCCCTTATGGGCCGATAAAAAAAAACACATATCTAATTTTTTTCAAGTACTACAACATATCCTAAAATCATTCAAATCGGTGAGGTCGGGTTAGGGTGGTTCCCTTGTTAATACACTTAGTACACTAATGATGTTATCATTAGTAATAAGTTGGTTGACTGATCCCCGTTCCCTCTTGCTCTCCGGTTAGCAAACGTGAATATTTCGATTTCTCCGCGCGCCTTCCGGTACGATTGCGTGTCGAGCGAAATACTGAAATAAAAACGGATTCTCACCCCGTTACAGTACTATAAAAAATTTTTGTCATTGGAATGTTTAACATCATTTTTATTTAAGAACGAAAGTGGTATCTGTGCGAAGAAATAAAAATATGCCTTTGATATGCACCTAAAAGTAAACAGAATCATATTGATATTTTATAGGGGCAGCAGAAAAAAGCTCAAAACATGGAGCAGAAGATAAAGCTAATAGTATCATAACAGCAATGAAAGAAAGAATGAAACAGCGAGAACGAGAAAAACCAGAAATATTTGATCTTATCCGGTAAGACTTTATGTTTATTACGTTAAACTAATTCACTTATTTATATACTACCGTTTATATTTATTTGCCCACACAGAGAAGAAATTACATAAAATAAAAATTTTTGTTATTAAAAAAATATTCATCCTCTAGAACCCTTCCGTAGTTTATTTTATAGGTTCTCGTAAGTACTTTCAGGTATAATTCCATTCCAATCGATTAATAATTTTTTTTCATGTTTTATTAATACATAAAGATAAGTTAAAAAGAAAAAAATTTTTGCCCACTTTTAAGTCCGAATATTTTTATGGGAGAAATTCCCCCACGATAAATCTAAAAAAAGGATTTGAAAGCTTCTTTAAAGAGCTTTCGAATGCAAGGTAACAGGATGTTTTGTATGATTAGCTTAAAAGTTACAGAAGTTTAAAAGGAAAAAAAAAACAGTTTTTTTCATGAATTATTATTTTGGTATCATTTATTCGTATAAGAAAATTTTACTTGGAAAAAATGTCTAATTTGTAACGTAGGATGAACTAAAATTTTCTCAGATTTATTTCGAAAAATTTTTTTCCTACATTTTGAAGTCGATTATTGTACGACTTTGTGGTATTCCATGAATGAAAGAAATCGTTATTTTTATTTTCTACAGTTTTTCAGTTCTCTGATCTATAATCAATCTAGGAATTTTCATAAAATCAGAAAAAAAATTATAACGAAAGGTTTTTATCATCTTTAAGTTACAAAGTATAAGTAATAGAAAGTCATATCCAATATATCAACAAAGTTGAATTCTTTCGGAATCATCAAAATAATATAATAAGTGTAATTCAGCTTTCTTTATAAACATAAAATAACACCGTGATACTCTAGGTAAACTGAGTTAATAAATTGCCAGTTCATTCATACTATCTTTTTAGTCGTCATAGTACGTAAACAAGAGAGATCACAGCTCAGGGGGTAACAGCTCACTGACTAGTGAACCACCCCAATCCTCCGCCTCCGATTATTCTGTAATTGAGATAAGTTATACGAGGTGTGTTCAAAAAGTAACGAGAATTTTTAAATTTCGCGGGTTTGGAGAGTCCGCTTGTATAAAATTTTTTTTTATTATGTTGGTACACATGCCCCTGAAGTACGATAAAATTTTCAGCAATATTCATTGCTTACTTTTTAAGTGGCAGCCGCTAACGTTAGACGTATTTTTCGAGCTCGGCGATTTTCGTTTGTGAAAAAAATAGATCAACGAATTTGTATTAAATTTTGCGTAAAAAATGAAATAAAGTGTAGTAAAGTTTGTCAAATGTTAACAAAGGCATATAGTGAGTCTGCTATGAGTAAAGCAAGGATTTATGAGTGGTATAAGCGTTTCCAAGATGGCCACGAAAACGTTGAAGATGACGAACGACCCGAACGCCCAAGCACATCAACAACCGATGAAAACGTGAAAAAAGTGAAAGAAATGGTTATGAACGATCGCCGAATCACAATCAGAGAAGTCGCTGATGATGTTGGCATATCAGTTGGCTCATGCCATCAAATTTTTTCGAATGTTTTGGGTATGAAACGTGTGGCAGCAAAATTCGTTCCAAAATTGTTGAATTTCGAACAAAAACAGCGGCGAATGGAAGTTGCTCAGGAGTTGCTAAATGAAGTCAATAACGATGCAGAACTACTAAAACGTGTTATAACAGGTGACGAAACATGGGTTTACGGATATGATGTCGAAACTAAGGCTCAATCGTCCCAGTGGAGGCATTCTGGATCGCCAAGACCGAAAAAGGCTCGACAAGTGCGGTCGAATGTGAAGGTTATGCTCACTGTGTTCTTCGATTTTAATGGCATAGTGCATTATGAATTCTTGCCACAAGGTCAAAAAATCAATAAGCAGTACTACCTACAAGTTCAACGTCGTTTGCGTGAAGCAATCCGAAAAAAACGCCCGGATTTGTGGCAAAACAATTCATGGCTTTTGCACCACGATAATGCGCCTGCTCACACTTCATTGCTTGTTCGTGAATTTTTGGCCAAAAACGAAACTGTAACGATGCCTCAGCCTCCATATTCGCCAGATATGGCTCCATGTGACTTTTTTCTATTTCCAAAAATAAAGAGAACATTAAAAGGCCGTCGTTTTACAAGCATAGATGACATTAAAAGCGAATCGCTGAAAGAGCTAAAAGCTATTACAAAGATTGAGTTTCAAAAGTGTTTCGAGGATTGGAAAAAGCGTTGGCATAAGTGTATTGTATCCGAAGGGGACTACGTTGAAGGCGACAACATTAATGTAGATGAATAAATAAATATTTTTTTCATAAAACGAAAATTCTCGTTATTTTTTGAACACACCTCGTAGTTCGTAAAAGAATAAAAGGCACGTATTTTTTATTATCGGCGGAAAAAGCTATCTAAGGGATGAAACCCACCCCCAAAAAACAACCCCAAAAGCAGTTCTATAGCAATATCTTTAGTTGTAATCAATATTTTTTTATGAAACAAAAAAGCACAAGATACACATCAATCTGGTCCCCGGGAGTTACAACCCCTACGTTGTATATAGAAAAAACTGTATTTTTAACTGTATTTTTACCTTACAAAATCAAAAAAATATGTTAAAAAAATTTAAAAAATGATATTCTAGTAGAAAATGATAAAACAAAATTGACGTGTTTCGGGGTTTTCCTATTATCTATTATTTCGAGGGTGAACTACCCCTTAATGTTATTAATACTATATAAGCAGTTGTTAACCGCAGATTATGCTGGTTATTTCATGTTCTATGACGCTCAAAAAAGCCAAACACATGTATACTTTTGTTCTGCCGAACACATAGGTCCTTAGCAGCCGGAAATTTGAACAAAAATGACGACAAAAAGTGGCAACGGGGTTTCATTTGTTATCACAAAATATACTAAAATTTACTGGAATGAAAATCGGCAGAACAAGGATATTTGTTTTTTACACAATTTTTCTTTCTTTCTAGTCAACCATTAATAATTTAATAAAATAATTTAATTGTTAAGCTAGATTTATTTTCGATACATAATTATTCAATTTTTATTATACAAATAACGCTTTACAAACGCTTTACAAACTTTACAAACATCGAACTCATATTGCATTGACAAATAAATATAATTAAATATGCAGAGATGAAAATTCAACAACGGCCTTTTTTAGTCTGTGAGGATATGAAGCATCGGTTGTTACATTTATTTTATATTTATTCCAGTATTTTAAAAATTCTTTGTGAACTGATTCCCCAGCCTGTTCAGACCATACCCCCAAGCCAACGTTATCCAAGAAACCTAAACAATCTTTTAAATGTTCCGTCACAACATGAACTTTTAACGTTGTAGATAATTCTGTCGCTTGAAAACTTTTTTTTAAATTTACGATGAGAGTATCTATATCACTTTTTGGTTGCGTTGTTGAAAAGCAGGCAGTAACTACTTTATCCATGGCTTTCAGGGCGTTCACAAAGCGTAAGAGTGCTAATTTTCCTACTCCGTTGCATATGTCTGAATCAAACAACTTATCAGAGTCTTTTAAAAGTTTCCGACAAGCGTTGCCCTCAAATATTTCTCCATGATAGTTTTTTGGAATCACATTCAATTTTTTTTGGCCACGTAAGAGCTTTTTCCCGACCTAATAGAGGTACTAATCCCTGCCAGAAAATATGGTTCACGTAACCTTGAAGTACATGTAATTCAGGAATCACACACCGTTCCAACACGCAAAAATCGGTCTTTTCTTCAAATAGAGGTCGATTAATAACGCTGTGGTAATTCTTGGCTACTTTCTTATCTTTTCCGATAGAACAAAAGGCTTCATAATCATTTTCAAGCATCCCATAAGTTTTCAATGGTAATACATCGCTACGATTTGAAGAACGTCTCAAAGAGTCCAGTGTTATATTGCAGTAAGGGCAAGGGAAAGAAGAAGTAGCAGTCTGTTGACCTTTTATTAATAAGAGCAGCTTGAAATCGGAGCAAAATTTAAAGGAAATATTATTGATCTGTATTAAATCAAATAAAATTTTAACGTTTTCGTAGGTCTCTTTGATGTCAGGAACTATACACAGCATTATCAAACGATAAACACTAGTTATCTTGGATTTTGCACTCACACTTCCTCCTTCGTGGTACGTTTTTCTTTTTTTCTTGAAAGGTTGATCATTGTTTTCTATAACATCATTAGCTGGTATAATCGACATACACACTTTAAAAAAACCTTGTCCGCCGTCGGCCATTACTTTTACAATATAGTTGCCGACTACATGTCGTTCACATAATATAGCGTCTAATAATTCACTTGCATCCGCCCAAATCACAGTCCTGTCTTCTTTTGCTTTACCGCTTCCGACATCAAATTTGAAACCACTGGATTTGTATAAGTTATTCAAAAATGAAGATTTTTCAGTCATATGCTGATAATTTGTAGGTACGGATTTTTTGCCAGCAGAACAACGTATGAAATTTATTAAATTTTTCATTTGTTTCGATGAAAAACCACTAGTACTTTTAAGACTATCTAATTTTTCTTCCGAAAAAGATACATTTTCTTGTTTTTTACTATTGAGAATGATTTTTCTTTTACGCCCTTTAGTATTTAAGTTTAGTTCAACATTATTGTTGTAACTTATGGATTTAGACTGTTTTTCTTGCATTCTCGTTATAATAGAAGAGGCAACTTGCATTTGAGATTTTTCGGAAAGATTATTAAAAACTAAGTTTTCAATATTTTCACTGATATTTTGACATTTGTGACTAATACCTTTTTTTATTTCTTGTAAACATTTTTTACAAAGTTTAATAACTTTTTGTGCATTTCTTTCTATTGGTTTCACAACACCAATCTTACTAGAAGGCAGTGCGCTAGAAGAATTAATTTTTTGTTCTTTACCATACATTCCATTTGCGGTAGTGATTTTGTTTGAAATATTAGACCGAACCATTCCTCTTCCCTTAACATTTTTTCTTGAAACACTACTTCTCGCTGTAATGCAGATGTAACAGTAACAA